TAAATATAATCATGGACAAAATAATAATACGTGGTCTGTTTGATATGAAGCAAATCGTTTTTCAAAAAACATTTTTTAGAAAATCAAAATGAATTTTTACTTATTTCTTGTGCTTTTTATACAAGTAAAAAATAGTATCCTACAATCATTTGGTATCTAAAACCAAACTATGAGAATAGATAGGGGAGGGGGTTGGTCGCGCAGGGTGGTGGTGGTGGTGATTGTGAGGATAACGAGGAGGAGACAATGCAATTTGTTTCCTAAATTTTTAAAAAAGTCATTTTTTTTTATTTTCGCGCTCGTTTTTCAAATTTTTTTGACTAATTAAATATGAGAAAATAGAAAATCATGAAGTGTTGTTTAGAAAAGTGATGAATAAATCAAAAATATATTTTTAATATTGTGAAATATGGACAAGTAAAAGTAACTAAAGTAAGCATTGAACGACCCAACTGGATCATGAATAGCAATAAAATGATTATTTTTTAGTGACTCTTTCACTGTGAATGTATTTAGTTAAAGTTCGGAAATTGACTATTTCAATTTTCCTTTGGAGACATCCAATAAAATTAGAACAATATAAAGAAGATTAGCATGATCCATGCGTAATAATAACACACAAATCTAGAAATGGTCCAAATATCTTCTTTTTTTGGGAGAAGGGTCAAATATGCCCCTAAATTATTTGAAAAGGTTTAGATATACCCTCCGTTTAAAGTTTGGTCCATTTATAACCTTGCCGTCCAACTTTTGGTTTACATATGCCCTTTTAGGCGTTAGTTGGCCAACTCGGAATATCCAACTCATTTTACTTTTATTTAAATGGCAAATGGATTTTCCACGTCATTTTTATGTATTATCACTTGACATTTATATTCAAGGGAAAAGGGTCAAATATGCCCCTAAACTATTCGAAAGGTCTAGATATACCCCTGTTTAAAGTTTGGTCAATTTATACACTCGGGTCCAAACTTTTGGTCTACATATGCCCTTATAGGTGTTAGTTGGTCAATTCAAAATATCCAACTCATTTTACTTTTCTTTAAATGTCAAATGGATTTTCCACATCATTTTTATATATTATTACTTGACATTTATATTAAAAGAGAAAGGGGCATTTTATGCCCCTAACTATCCGACCTAATTTTAAAACACATATACGACCCGTCTTTTAAATAATCTATACAACCCGATCCTTTTTCTAAATACCCTATATGGGTCGGATTAGGGCATAATTGAACCATTTAAATGGAGAACACTATCGTGCTCTGATTGGAACCGCCAAGAAATCAATGGCACGACAATTGAAGGAAAAGGAAGTCGAGGTTTGAAAAGCGTTTTGGCGCAACGCAGAGCTGGAGGCGCAAACCTGGCAGGCAAGGGCTAGAGCAGAGGAATTTACTGCAACAACGTTACAGACACAACTGCAAGCTGCAGCAGGCGATGATGATATAAATAAAAAAATAATTCACACATATATGAGTCAGATTAGGGGCATAATTGAACCATTTAAAACACAGTCGTATATGTGTTTTAAAATTGGGTCGGATAGTTAGGGCATAAGTGACCCCTTTCTCTTTTAATATAAATGTCAAGTGATAATATATATAAATTATGTGAAATCCCATTTGACATTTAAAGAAAAGTAAAATGAGTTGGATATTTCGAGTTGACCAACTAACATCCATAAAGGCATATGTAGACCAAAAGTTGGACGCGAGGGTATAAATGGACCAAACTTTAAACGGGGTATATCTAGACCTTTCGAATAGTTTAGGGGCATATTTGACCCTTTTCCCTTGAATATAAATGTCAAGTGATAATACATAAAAATGACGTAGAAAATTCATTTGGCATTTAAATAAAAGTAAAATGAGTTGGATATTCCGAGTTGGCCAACTAAAGCCCAAAAGGACATATGTACACCAAAAGTTGGACGGCGAGGATATAAATGGACCAAACTTTAAACGGAGGATATATCTAAACCTTTTTAAATAGTTTAGGAGCATATTTGACCCTTTTCACTCTTTTTTTTTTTAAAAAAAACTTTTTCTAAATTGACATTATAAGTGGATAAGCTATTCTTCTTATTACAACTGTTTAAGGTACTCATACTTCATTAGAAAACATAGTAGTAATTTACGGACTATAGCAAAAAAAGAAAAAATTAAAGCTACCACATATTTTAATAAAGCTTCATGAAGAGCTTTATTGATAGTAATTAAAAAGCTATGGAGCATTGAATTTGAGTTGACGCATAAAATATAAATTTTAATAAATCATGATATCAAAGATTATTTTGCCACTTTTAATAATCTACCAGCACATATTTAAATCATTTATAATAGAATTTTACGGGTTGCTTGATGAAAATTGTCCTTGAAGGTGAGTTTTACCTATTTATTTGTATTTTTGCAGATATTATACTACTTGGTGGCCCCAATATATAATGGTGCACCAGACACTCATCTAATAATCATCAAATTATTTGCTATCTCCATAACGTTGAAATGATTTTTAAACATGTGAAACGCACTTACTATATATAAATCTCAATGTTTTTTGTCTTATTTATTTGAATTAATTCGAATTTGGAGTAACACTTAACGAAAAGGAATAAATGATAACGTATATTTCGATTGTAAATGATCGGTATACAGATAGTCTGTTATTTTTTTGGGATATCGGTGTTTCTGTCTTTTAAAAATTAGAGTATATATGTCCTTCATTTTAATAGAAGACTAAATAAGGGCACATGATGCAATCTTATCCGTCGATTCGATATTTAATAAATGTTGGATCCCTGAATAAGATTATGACACATATATATTCGCTAGTATAAAGGGTATATATGTTCTAGTTTTTGAACGGTAAGAACACCAATAACAAAAAATATGACGAAAATATCTGCATATAATTTACGATAGTTTGAAAGTATATTTGTCATTTCTTCCTAACGAGAATAATTAGTTGATTTCTCTCAAGATGACTCAACTAATAATTATTACTTTATTTTATTTTTTTTTATTAAAAAGAAAATTGACATAAAGAAAATTGATGACTTTTTAAGATAATAAATATTAGCTGAATTATCAACTCTGGAAATGCTACAACGTGACAAACTCTTCTAGTTATAAAATTGTGTACTCACTCTCGAATATGCACCACTACAGTAATAATTGAAGAAAACTACGAAATGATGATAACCTATTATAATCGATCATGGAAAGTAAGAACATGATGTTACATTATTACTAATAATTTGAATATAATTTTTGGGATGTATGGGTCAGGCAATGAGATAATATGCCTTTTCTCCTCTGTCCAAATAGATCTAGTTCAAATATTTTTAATCCGCACAAGATATAATTATTTCAAGAGAGACATTTTCGGTAGTCCAAAAACACAAGCAAAGTTTTAATTTAATTGTCATGAAATTTTAATATAATAACGAACGTGAAGCAGCGCTAACTTAGAAGTGTAAATACTAGAGAAACATTGAAATCTCACCACTTTAGAAACTAATTACTTAGGTACATTCTAGTTTTCGATATTACAAAATCTTATCAGTTTTTGATGTATTTAAATACATTTATTTTGAAATACATGAAGTCAAAATTAGGTGTAATTTGTTTTCGATACATTATATCCAAGTGGTTTCACATGTATTTGAGATACATAACAAATCTCACTCGCCTCCCTCCCATCTTGCTCGCTACTCTCCTATGTATCTGATACCGCAAATACATATAAATATATGTATATGTATGTATCTAGTGTGATTTGCTTGTATATGGTAATATATGATTATCTTCCGTTTCTCCCTCCCCATTTTATTTGCTTCTTTCCTTATTTTACTGTATCAGATAACAAAAATACATATATCAAGATATATTTTTTTCAATAGGCAATATATTATAAAAAAACTCTTAGTAAATAATAATATACACAATTATTCAAAAATGTAGGTAGAATTCATATATATTATGATATTGATTTAAAATTATAGTTAAGCAATTTTTTCTACTTCCTCCATTTCTTAAATATTTAAAATTTATTATCTAAAATAAGTTGTCTATGTTACATAAATCGAATGCCACTTGGGTTACGTTCCAGTTTCTCAAATTAGAGTTGTTACATATATCTCTCATTTCTGTCTTATGACAATTCAATGACTTTATTTTTATATGAAGTTCTGTAACCTAGATATATTGCCATGTGTTGCTTCAAACTTTTTTCTTTTACGTAGTATAAAGAAAAAAAAGACGATTGTTACAAAATCTAGCTATATCTTTCTTTCATTATTTTTTTTCTAAGAGTGGGGAAGGGGGAAATAAAATTAATTATTCAGCCACAAGAATCTCTGAGTCGATAACATTATATTAATCAAATTTATGACATCACTAAGAAAACAAAATAATCCTTCAATATTTTAATAAATACAGCGACCCAAGTATCAACAATACAATTGACCAATAAAATATTACTCTATTCAATCATTTAATTTTTCCGTGTTGCGAAAGTCATATGTAGGTGTAAATAGTAATATTCCTCACATCTCAAAATTCAAAATATGCTTCGTAAAAAAAACATTACTTAAAATAATTCTTTTTATTACTCTATTTTATATCATGTTGAAGTGTTTATACTGTTGTATAATAATTAATAGTAAAAAAAAAATTAAAATGACTTTTTAAATTCTAAAATAATAAAGTCAAAAAAGGGAGTAATATGATGTTTGTTGTATATAGGTGTGTGCATTTAATCTAGCGCACGTAGAGGGGAGTTGGGAGTTTATTGAAAATCCGGTCAACGTGTAGATACATTTATTAGCTAAACATAACAATGAATGAGTACAGCTATTACAGTTGCACAGTTAGTAGATGTCAACCATAATAAGCCCTTTCTCTTAATTAACCAAACACATGAGATAGAACAATATAGGATAATCATCGAACTTTTAATAATATGATAAAAATTGAGATAATCAATCAAAAATAATTTTCAATTACATAACATAAGGCATCACCGGATGCTAAGTTTTTGCTATCCAAAAATAATAATCTTTAATTAGATAACACGATATCATATGGTGCTAAGTTTTTGCTATCCAAAAATAAGGCAAATTTAGCCTTAATAAAGATGTGGACATATTTAGTTTAAACTATTAACTTGATAACAAATATGTTACATTTCGTATAGTTCTAGAACAAGTTTAATTAACTCTTTGACTAATTGAAATTATATTCATAGATCGTCAATTTTTGTATAGTGTAACAATTGAATATTAAGGCATGCCATGTAACTTATAAAAGTTATATCTAGCAGGAATTATAAGGTTATATCTAGTAGGAAAAATGAAAAAAACATATTTCGAACTATCGTAAATTGTATGCAGATAGCATTTGTTATACTTTTGAGATATTGGTGCTCTAGCCGGTCCAAAAACTGAAGCATATATACCCTTTATATTAACGAAGATACATGTCTCATAATCTTATGCACCGGTAGACTTTTATTGGATATTGGATTGACGGATAAGATTGTATCACATATATTTATTTAGCCTTCCATTAGAATGGAGAAAATATAAGCTCTGCTTTTTAGATGACAGAAGCATTAATGTCTCAAAAATATGATGAAAG